TAAAACTTTTCAATAAATATATTTTTTTAAAGTGAGCTGTGCATGCGTGTGTGTTTATGTGGGATTCAAACAAAAGATTACTGCATTCTGAAGAAGTACCACTAAAATAAGGCTGATTTTTTTTAAAGAAATCCCCTAATGACCCTCTGAGGTGCGCTGCACCTCATAAGCATTTTGCCAAAGTTGCAACGTTGATGCAGTAAAGTGTGTATAAGCAGAATTTCTGTCATTTCTCCTCACCTTCACTTCTAGTGCCTCCAGGTTTGCCCTCTTCAACCCTGTTTCCCTTTCGGGTCACTTTACTGCAAAACGCTGTTGCCTACTGTGTAATTTCAAGCTCTGTTTTCTTTCAGAAATACACAAGAAATGAGAACAAACAAATGGTTGAGGAGGGTACTAATGGGAATGGCTTTCTTTTCATGCTTCCATTTAGCAACCTGTATGTCCTTGGCTCCATCTGATTACATCCCTCTGTCAGCCGTTTTGGGATTTTAAAATGTGGGTAAGTGCTGGAACAGTTGACACAAGTGTAACACAGAACTCTTAGAGATTTTTTTTGGAGTTCTGGGACATACAGTACTCGGTAGCAGTACTAATATCAGATTTTTTGTAAACCTTTTCATCATGTGTTTTTCTGTCCCGTGGTCAAGCAGACAATTTAAGTGTGCGGTTTGTAGTCACCCTCCTTTTATCCACTTTCTACCAGGTTTTCAGGCCTGTATAGATAGGCCCCCAAGATAACCTGGTAGGGGATGAATGAGTGCTATCTTAATATCAAGATGCAACAGCAAAATCAGCAGTCATATTTTCTATCTCTAATCAATGGCATTTACTAAACAAGATATTATAAGTGAGGACGTATTTCCAATACATTTTAATGCCAATAACCTGATTTAAGGATGCAAGACTAAATAAAACCAAATTTAAAAATACCTTTGGTATGAAGCCAACAAAATCTATCCAAATTTAAATCACAGGGACACAGCAACATAGGGCACATCTACACTGACTTAATTTGGGTTTGAAACCAGTTTAGGAGAAACCAGTTTCGCTACATGCTGATGACTAGATTGACATGACAGGAACAGGATGATGATGACATTAACCATGTGCCTCAACCTGGTTCCAGAATCTGCAATATTTTTCCCAATTTTCCGTTGAGATGCGCACCAGTGCTTTGGAGGTATAAGAGGTAGGAGAAAAAAAGGAAGTGATATTTAGTAGTGAAGATAATCAATTACCCATCCCAGGGGTCAATGGCTCCCGTGCCACTGAGCCATTCTGAAGGGGTCTACAATGTGATTCACTTTCTGTACCATATGTGGTTTAGATTTAGGGCTTGCTGAAGTGCAAGAAGGGGTTTAACTCGGAATTTCTCCCCAACTTGGCTTGATGCACATTAAAGGCCTTAATTTATGCTGCAGCACTGCCTTAGCTTAGAACTGGCTTGAAACTGCAATTAAATGATCAGTGTAGTTGTGCTCATATTTTTTTTCTGTGCAAAGTTGCTGAAGACATTTTCTGATGTCTTCATATAACATTTTATAGCGCTTCCCACAGGACCATGGATGGCATATAGTCATTAAGAATCCTAAAGTAAAATCAATGGAAGAAAATGGGAGATTTGGGAGTACTGTTTGTTTGGGAAGAATCCTCTTGTTCCCTGCAGAAGAAAATGAGAGAACAGATGGTGGTAGACTAGAGTGCTCTCAATACTCTCAGTGATATTGAACTAAGTTTGTTTTAGAATTCTACAATGTGTACAACAGCACACACACTTATTAACAGAGGACCCAAATGTTTAGGAAGAACCCATTAACATGTAAATGGAAGCCACAAAACTATAATCTAAAGATACTTTGGCATAAAGGATGGCTCCCTGCTTTAACTGAACAAAGTCTTAGCTATATCTAATTAGCTAGCTTTGAAAACTGTGCCCTTATTAGATTTTTTTTTTTGGGGGGGGGTCAGATTTGGATTTTATTCAACTTTTTGTGACAGTGGAGAAGAGCATAATAGCTTTTGCCTGGATGTTCTAATGAATTGTGGACTGGGCTCAGTGCCTTGTAGCTAAACCCACGAGTACCTGCACACACATGATCCAGTATTATAGCTGTAATACTCCACAGTCATATAAAAAGTTAATAAAACTAATTAGAAAACTAGCAAGCCTAACTGTGATTTACCACATTTCATTAAGTTGCATTTTTTTTACACAAAGGTTGTCTAAAATGTTTTTAAAGACAAAAAGCAAATTGAAAGTTCTTTATTTCTTATGACAATTTCCAATATGGATTCCCTTTCCACTTACACCAAAACTGTTGTATGTCCACATTCTTCCTAATGCATTTTTAAAATAAGGAAATAAGACAAAGGACAGTGTTAGCATTGTGTTGGTATTGCCTGCCAGTCTTCCCTGCTTCTATCTAATTTTCCATACTGAGCTTTGTTTTTGTCATTATTTTTATCCTATAAAAAAAAAACAACCTGTAGGCATTGCTGCCATTGATTGACTCAGCTGGTGTTGCAGAATATGAAACAAGAGCATTTCAAAAGTGCGTAGGTTGGAGATGTGATTTGGCTATGCTTTGGCATAGCTAATGTCAGCAAAACAACAATGCCTGCTAGGCTCTGTAAATGGTATAGCAACAACTATTACAAAACTAGGTTTTTGAATATGTCAAGCTATTTCCAGAAATAAATTACTGCCTTCCTGCAGAAAAATGTATATGTGGTACAAATGAAGACAAACAGAGGAGAAACGACTTGGAAAGTATAAGAAGCATGACATTTTCTCTGAAATCTTCCTGCCTACATTGGTGGTCACTTCAGATACTGGTTGCTGGGGTTTATGCGTGAGACATCAATGAACTTTTACTGTTTGAGCTACAAGTGCTATGCAGCTTCCCTGGTACCTCTTAAACTAACTTGCTGTCTTAAAAAAAGGCAGTTCTGCCCTTTCTTTATGAAATGGAGTTGGGAGAGGATGGATAACTATTTTATTTTTAATGGCTGGCAGCAAAACTTTAAAAATATCTTTATGGGCAGCCTGGGCCATCCGTTTCAACATAACCGCAATAGACAGGGATTGAGAAAGCAGATAGTTGTTATCTTTTCCATGTCTGTTAGCCACAAAACTGAAACTGTTTCCACAAGTCAGCCCACAAAGTTGATAAGTGAGTTATGTAGGCCACAAACATATGCCACAGAATTCAGAAAGTTGGAGTTGTGGAGTATCCCAGTCGTTGGAGCATCCCAGTCGTTGGAGCAGATGTTCACAATCACCAAACCTTTAAGAGCCATATTTTTGGTGCAAGTACCACACAACAGGTGTCACTTTGGTGTATGTCTGTGAAGACTGTGTAGTCTTTCAGATTATATTGACACTGTAAATTATCACTAACTGGGGCTGGAAATAGGGAACAACTTTATTGTAACTTTGGTTGACAGCCCATTTCTGGAAACAATTCCAAGTATTAGTTTTGACCTGCAATCTTATCACATGGGGAAGCCCCACCACACACCCAGTGCCATTTAGCTAGCAAGTGTGGTGAAACGGCAGAGGCAAGCGTCAACTCTGTTGTCCCGTGCACCACCCCGATGCTGCAACATTTCTCCTGTGGATGCTTCCACCCTGGGAAGTCACTCTGTGTCGTGTGATGACTGGCATGGGGCTCTGTCTCTGAAGAAGGCTCGCAGTGTCCTAGGACACATATTTTGGTGAGTGTGATGAGGTCATTATAAAGCCTCATTTGGCTCATGTCTAGATTATTTGAAGGATTGTATTTTGCCTTACAAAGGAATTCAAGAGGTCCCTCTCTCTGTCCCACCATCCTCACAAGTACATATGATTGGAATACAGGAAGGGCTTTCTCAGTAGCTGTCACCAGACTCTGGAACTCCCTTCTTAGGGAAGTTAAGACTTGCTTCTTTCCTATTTTTTTCCAATCATGCAAGCACTTTTTTCTTTTGACAGACATTTGATGAATGAGTATATAAGGCTAATCTCACCTAAACAATGTGTTGGATATTGCTAACTGTTGTCCTGGGGTAGGAGTGCTTGTGCATATGTTTAATGATGTATGCTTTAATCTCATTTTATTTTAGGTAGGTAATGATACATGCTAAGTACCCTTTATCTGGAAAATATAAAATCCTAAATGCTCCCAAATCTAAAACTGACCATGTGGGTGGCTGAGATAGTAATATCTTTGCTTTCTGATAGTTCAATACACACCATTTTGTTTCATACACAAAATTAAAAATATTGTGCGTAAAATTATGTATAAGATACATAATAACCTTTGTTTTCAGAATTTCAGATAAGGGATATTCAATCCATATGCCCTGTCCTACATAGGCCCACTGACAAATTGGAATATCCTCATAATTGTCATCAAATCTGAGCTGATTCAATAGGAGCCTTGGTGTGAATACTTAGATGTCCACCTGGGAAATGGGAAATATCACAAAGCGTACCCCCCACACACCTGTCTTTATGTTCCAGTACCAGTTTCAGCAGTGCATTGACTATGCCCTACAAGCATTAATGGTCCTGATGAATCAAGACAGACGGAAGGAAACACTTCTTCACACAATGATGGTAAACACTACTATTAAATGTGGTGACAGTCTACAAATTAGATATTTTAAAAAGGGGATTAAACAAAATAGGGGAGAGAAACATTATCCATGGATTCCACCTGTGCTGTATGCTGCCTTCAAGGTAAAATCAGCATGTCTTGTCAGTAACACTTGCTGAGAAATTCAAGAGAAATATTGTGCTTATTTAATGCTTTCAGATTTCCCATTAAGTATCTGGTTGGGATTAGACAGACCTCTGACCCAGAAAAGCTTCTCTCATATTTTTAAGCATCCCATCCACTTAACTGCATTTTCCCATCTTGATCGCTATTTTGAAAATACTTTCTCTTTTTTAAGAACAAAAAAACCTGGAGAAAAAGAAACAGAACTGAGGATCACCTGTAGCGGAAGCTTACCTCATATTCCTCCTTGAACCCATAGCCTTCTGCACATTTCATCTGTGTAATGTGCTGCAGCAAATCAGCAACACGGATAGCTGGATGGAGCTGCCCAGTTTGGTATGGCACATCCACAGGGTCTCGCTTCTTATAGGTGTGTGACTGGACCAGGCTGCTTGTATCACTGCCCATTGTGTGAGTTTCATCTAGGAAGAGAACACTGCATAATATATCAGGCTATTTCCAAATGTTCTACAAGTTTATTTTACAATACTTTATAAGGAGAGCTTGTGACACAACCAGCGTCCTTGATAATCTCTATCTTGGTAAACTAAACCAAAATGGAAAAAAAACTGCACTAAGGATTATATTCAGGGGTTACCCAGATATATTGAGAAGAGGTAAAATTCTATCGGTTTACAATCAACACAGTGCTTAAGTTATCTTGTCTATTTAAATACAGTAATAAATCAGGCAATTTAAATTCTGTAGGTATTTAACTCTAAATCATACAGGAAGTTTCAAGCCGAAACTTTAGCAAGTCCCAATTTTTGTAAAAATGGGGTCTTGAGTATTTCCTGGATTAGTAAATTGTTTATTATCTTTTTCACAGTGATTCATGACACAGGTCAGTGAAAATATTTTTAAATGCAAAAAAAGGTGATACAAATTATTAAGCCAGGATAAAAAAAATGGAAATGTAGACTGGATACAATACTATGAAAGAAAATACATGAGGATAAATGTGAGGAAAAATTGACTGGGTTTAATGTTCTGAGTGAATTTAGCATGCTGCAGTATTAAATAAACACTATATTAAGGGCCATCACATAAGGCATGAAATGTTATATGTCAACTGACATGCAAGCCAACACACAACATAACCCCACTGGGTTGGTCAAAACTAGTATGAAGCCAACAATTTCCCACCCCTCCACCCCTTTTCAATGGGGCAAATGGGCAACTTACCATTTATTGGCACTTTTAAGAAGATACATATCAGGAGAAAAAGAGGAGGAGGAGGAGAAGAAAAAGGAAACAGGCCATAAGCAACAGCACTACAATAATAATTACAGGTACTTTATGTTTGCATTTAAGTGTCTTCAATTAGGTTTCCTAACAGAACAGTCTAATATGTTGTAAAGGGTAGGGCCAAAGATCCAATATAATTTTCTTATTTTTATCAAATTAAAATGCTACTTCCAGTATGTGGCAAGAAAAAAAGGGGGGAGAGAGAGACCTAAAACTGAGAATTAAATATCTGTATTTTTCCTGCTACTATAAAAATTAATCTTTAATTTTTTGTTACTTATTGAAATGCAACATTATACTAGAATCTGCAATTTTCTTCCCCTCCACCTGCAGCATTCCATTGTGCTTGAAAACCTGCCTTGAAGGCATTTCCCAGCCTTGTAAAGCAGGAATTGAAGGCACAGGGTGGCGTGAGGGCTACAAAGAGATCCTTCCTCCTAGTTCCTTTAGAAACTAATCATATCAATCACGAAACAGTTTAACTGGGGCAGGGGGAGAACACCTATCAGTTTATTCCCAAATTTGGGAGTGGCATTTTTCAATTAATACAGTTGACATAGGACAAAATAACTAGGGAAGCCAGCAGAACCTTGTACTCTTTTGGCATAACATCAAGGTAGACATGCCCAGCTTTTCCTTCTGTTTCAAAATATGTCTCTCTTTGTCATGCTGTGAGCTTAATGTGTACTGTCTTGGCAAGTACAGAACACTCTGCAACAATGCTAGACTGTATTAAAAATCATGGGAAATTTGAGCTAATTATTTTATCATCCATCCTAGCATATGAGCCAGGCCCTGAGACAGATGGTGGAGATAGCCATCACACACCCAAGCTATATGTTTAAATGTCTTTGCCAGCTCCAAACTCTCACCAGAGAAAGAGTTTCTGATAATAGAAATAAATGGGACACCTGGATCAGATCCCAAAACCTAACAAATGATGCGAGGAAACACTACCAAGTGAAATTATTTTGACCCAATGGAGTTACTCGTGTGTTATACAGATGCATATTAAGTTGATGTAATCTATCTTATCCTGAACAGCTGACAAACACTGTATTTCTGACTTAAAGTAATAGATGTAATCCATGTATATGAATGTAATGATTCTTCAATAGTTCTGGGAAACTGGACAACGTTACTATTCTGTTACGTATACAGATGGAAGTAACTGTTAGCTGCTCTTCAGCAAAATTGTAATGCAAAGCACCTTGAAATGCATGGCATGAAGGCGATATACAAGTGTTGGTACAGTATGTTGTTGAAATGAAACCTGAATACTACGAGGCGGCTAAGACACAAAAAGACAAAATAAATAAATAATTAAATAAAAGAAAGAGTTGAAAGTTGATTTGTGATAGTTTAAAAATAAATTTATGCAAAGAAGTCATGGATTTTACTTTAAGTTACTATATTATAATCAGGTAAAGTTAAGAATTCAGCACTGTAAAACCAGATCAGTGCATCTTTTCTAATTATGTTGCATATTCACAGTTTCACATCAAACCATGGCAGAAATGTATTTCTGCTAGATATTGTTATGCCTGTTTTCCTAGAACTATAATTATTATTTTTAATAAAGACATAATTTTACAAAGCCTTTGAAATGAAGAGTTTATTATTCCAGCTTCAGAAATTGGATGTACTAAGTTTTCAGGCTAATGTTTTTTATTAGCTCAGCATTTGCTTAGATGAAATCCAGAACTCAGTTGCCAAAAGCTGGTGGTCTTCTGGAGTACATGTCTTGTAAAAGGTTTGAGTAACATCCAGATGTATAAATACTCCCTGAGCCCATAAAGTCAGAGAATCTCATAATTATTTTTGCAATATAAATTTTACAGTGAATTGGTCACATATGATAGGAAATTGACACAAATACCAGCAGCTCTAGCAATCGCTACCAGTACCAATATACAGCATTATTGGTGGCATATGGACTCAACCATTATTTTACATTTTATTTCCATTTGAGGTTCCAGGTTAACCTGTATGTCCACAATTTGAAAAATCATGAAAAATCAGATTACTAGTTGAACATGTATAAACAATTTCGTCACTGACATGACACTTGTAGGCCAAAATCCAACTGCAACTTTCAACAATTAATTCAAGGTTCTACTCTGGTTCAGACCATAACTTAGATTTTAGATGTGGCCTTTGACCGAAATCATGTGTGAACAACATGCTACCACAGCTGAGGATCTCCAAAGGATCTGAATTTACTTTGATGCTTGATAGGTTTTTCATATTCTGTACTTTCTGGACTATATGTGTGCTGCATGCAATTCACAATGTACTTACATGAACACTAATCAATGGGGGAAATGCCATCAAATAATGCATTACAATTATAAAAATCTGCATTACAATTATAAGCATCTGTATATTTGCAATAAATAAAAAGGGAAAAATTTCATCCCATGATCAAAACTCACTCACATAATTGGAGAGCTGGGCACAGCCCAGAGGTGGAGGTGGGAAAGAGAAGATGTGGAATTTACAGACCTCCATGCCCGTATGCTCACTGCTAGAGTATCACAGCAGTGCTCCTTAAGCTATCTATTGTGGGGGATCAGGAGATGTTTTTTCCCCAATGTGCCAGAAACCATATTCAATACAGATGGTTCTAAAACAGGCATGGGAAAACTTCAGCCTTCCAGGTGTTTTGGACTTCAATTCCCAGAAATCCCTGTCAGTTTACCAACTATTAGGAATTGGGGAGGTCCAAAATAACTGGAGGGCCAAAGTTTGCCCATGCCTTTTCTAAAACTTCCTGTGAACTAGCAGCCAATAACTCATGGACTGGTCCACAGGCTACCACTTTAAGCGGCACTGCTCTACAGTGCCCATAAATAAATAAGGGCATTTTTGCATATGCTTATAGGGCTTTTATATTATCTATCCATGCCAACAGAAGAGGTAACAGAGATATGTCTGAGAGTTGATTGACTCAAACACTTCAGTGTGACTGTGGGATAAGTCTAGTCTGTCCTTACTTTCAGCTGTTTCAGCCTTTTGCAGAGTGTAGCTGTATACAACATGACTAAAAACAAAATCGGCATTCAGAACAGTACGTACATGCAACCAACTGCAATTTAATGAAGTAATTGACAATTAACTGCAGCTAGGTTTCACCCCAAGCTATCATGTTGAAATTGTAAAGATATAATATACATTTTTATACTTTGAGAATAAGCAAATAAGGCTATATGCTTTCTCTTCCCCTTAAGCACGATAATTAATCTTCCAATTTTTTTTGCTCAGAAAATTATGGTTTGTATTTGCTTGCGAACCAGGATGGTGACTCAGTAGTGGCTATGTGAATATGGACTGCTCTTCTAGAAGACTGGCAGTAACATTCATTGGAGGAAAAGGTGGACAAATCTTAAGGAGGAACTATGGCAGTCTTTAAAAGACATGTACAAAGACATCCTGCAGTGATGGACTATTTAATGAACTATTGTGGCATTTGAAGTGCGTAATTTTTGCTCATTGACATTACATTTGACAAAAAATAATCTTACAATGATCTCCCTGGCTTTTTCCTTGCTCTCTCCCATACAGGAAAAAGAAGTAAATATAACAAGAAGGCAATTGGAGAAATTAAGGTATCTGTAATACAAGATAGAAAAATGTGGGCAAACCCATGGAGAAAATTCTTCCAGATCCTTCTGCAGTAGCAATCTGAAGAAAACTGAGTAGAAGGTGATGCACACCTCTCCATTATTTTTTCTTTTGTTAAGGAGTTCAAAATTGTTGCACAAACATCTAACTGTATAACTTAATAGAGACCATGAAGTAGAACAAAAAATTAACCCTAGCTTGTGATCATTATTATTATTAACAATATTTAGTATAATTTGATGATATTATCATCATTTCATTTATATAATTTGTCTTTAATTTTCAAGACGGCTTGCAATTAAAATTATTACAAAAACCACAATCAGGTGCAAACCATTACTTTGTCCATTTGGACAAAACAGCAAGTCATTGAAACGTAAGTATATGATCCTAATAGCTATATTATGATCTTACACGGCTCCTACATTTTGTTCCTGTAACACCAAACTATATTATGTGTTTTCAAATATATGTCCATGGAGGTAAAAAAGATTGTGTTAATGTCCATATCCAAATGCTTGCTTCTGCTGTTTATTCATACAATTCAAGTCCACATCAGACGGAAAAACTTCAAATATGATGATGGTAGAGCTTACTAGTGATATATGTATGAAAAGTCGTGCATGTATCACTATGGTCACCACTGTACCCAAGACAGGATGAAGATGGTAAGCGCCACTCCCTGTCCCCAGACTGCCCAAACACAGGGAAAGTGGGCTTGCCATGTAAACAATGGTGTCTGTTTTCAAATCAGTACTGGTCCAACTATTTACACACATGCCCAAAGTATGGCTGTGATTCAGGCCTTCATGACATCCCCTAGCTTTGGGTAACGGGTGGCAAGGCCACGTTAAACAGCCCTACTAGGCATGTAGAGTTAATTTGTCTTGTGCATCATGTGAATGCCACAAAGTCCACTTGCCCCCAACCAAATGCTACAAAAGTCTATCGTTTAATAGTATTGTTTTTTATTTGTCTTTTAACAATGTCAACTAACACTGTCAACTAAAACAGAGGTGAGATGATCTCAGGCTGCTAAAAAATCACTGCAAATTTCATTTACATTCATGTTATTGTGTTATTGTGGTGACTGCAGTGTCATTTTCTCCGGTTTTCAAGAAATTGTTGTCCTTGTACATCACATAGAAATTAACTTTGTTCATTATTATTCCCATATAATGATTTTCCTGCATTTGGAGAGGGAAGGAGTAGAGGTTGCCTCTAGAAAATGTAACCTGGCCATAGGTTGGAGAAATCAATAATCAGTTGGATAAGCTCAAGGGACCTTTTGACGCCTGCCCCTTTAAAATTGATAGCAACTGCTCAAGACAACAAATCATTTTATGATACCATTCCTGATGGTGTTCTCAAGTTGAGGTCTCTGTGCACTACATTGCTAGTTAGAAATGTTTGATCTAACAAATTTAGCAACTCAGGAAATCACGTGGCAATATTAATAAGGACAAAGAGAAAGAGCAAGGAAAAAGGAAGAGTAAAAACCATTCAAGAGACAGCATGAAAGCAGCAACAGGTATTGAAATTGATTTCTTGCCACAGTGTTGTTATATTTTTTATCTTTCTTAATTTGTGTAACTAAGGTTGTGTAAGTGTGGGTTAGGTATGGTTAGTACTGTGTAGTAGTAATTAAAAGCACAGGCCAGCTTCATTGTTATGTATTACAAATGGGGTAATATCTCATGCCATTTTTGTTATCTCAGTATGGTAAATCCATTTCCCTTCATTTTTTATGTTGGATTATTAAAAGCTGTTTGCACCCTCCTGATAGATATATACGAATACCTCTGCTTTCAACCTATGTGATATATGGCACAAAATACATCATTACTATAATATGTTGTGCTTTTCAGGGTAACAATCTCATTGAAAGTCTCTCTGTAGCATGCCAACAAAATAAATTAAAACTGAAATACAGAGATGACCAAATGTCATATTACTGTCTTACTAATTCATATGTTTATTTTATTTCACGAACAATATGGTAACAATGATAAATCTCTGTCATCATATTAATACTCTTTGCTAATGCCTTACCTTAAGAAAGAAAATCTCAATGACACCAAACACATGGTCTCCCCACCCTCCTATTTACTACATTTTCTGATGACAGTAAGAATTCACATTCTCTTGTAGCAAATGACACTTGTATTCATTTTTCAAAGAAAGAACTCTGTTGTGTAGCTTAGGTTTGAATTTTTAAAAATTGTTTGGTAACAGATGTTGACAAAGGGAAATGTTCTCACCTAAAATGGCAGTTGGCACAAACGGATCTGTCATACATCATAAGCAGGTCAGTGCAGAAGCAGTAAAAAGAGAAAGAAATGTAAATGTCTGAGAAATGTTCCCAAATTTTCTGCCAGAAAGCCACAAATAAGCAAGTGGTTACAACATGCAGATGGCACTTATCTCTTATGGTAGTATCTCTTCTCCCCCCTCCATCATCTCCAAAATTTAGCAATGACAAGAATATTACTGCTAGCATATTTTAAAAATCTTTAGGGGTGATCTATTCTTGAACAGATTTTGAAAAATGTATGGACTAAGGCTCTAGAGGAGAGTATAGGTGTGTGCAAGCCTCCTATTTGGAGCTTAGAGTTATGACTATTCTTCATGGGTATGAGTATGCCTCTATGGGGGAGACAAATCATAGAATTCTTAGAAGATAACTAGGAAAAAACAAGTAAAAATTGGTTACCTGGATAGTAAGAATTAGGCACAGTTGTACTCAGTGTGTTTGTTTTCATTGTGAATGAAGAGGGTGATGATACAGCTGCAAAAGAAGGAAACTATTAAGTAGGACACCACAGTAACATCAGAAAACCTCGAAACACCTTTATAATTGTTCTTATAAGAGGAATATTACAGTACAGTAATTGATCAGGCAATTCAAATCCAGAAAAATGTATTTCATGAAGAGAGATATCCAGACAAAACATGACAACAGTCTTTGGGGACTACTTTTTTAAAGCACAAGGTGTTTGTTTTACTACATCTCAGTAACTGTAGAAATCTTATGGTACATGTTCACTCTACAATATTTTCCAACACCTGAATTGTTTTCCTTTGCTGATGTGTAAAAGCTAAATCTGCAACATACGTTCTTTTCGAGCAGGTGTTACTAAGCAGATTAGTTGGGGAGGAGCAACACTGCAGTTGCTACTGAGCAATACTGAGCGCTCCACAAGGGATTACTGAGCAGAAAGGTGCAGGAACAAGCTATCCTGTAATAGCTTCCAATTGTAAAACGGAATACTAGAAAAAGCATTAGACTAAAATGTTTACAATTTTGGTTGCAACCCAATCACTACATGCCAGTGAGTAAGCTCATCAGTGTTACCTCTGAGTAGATAGGCACAAAGCACTATGCTGTCACACTGGTAGCTTTCTGTAGAGCTGAGCCTCTACCACTAGACAGATGAGTTTTAGAGTCATTGTTAGCGTCATGGCCAACCCTTAATGGCTTTCCAGTGGGACAAAATAGAACTTATATCACAACCGCATTAGATTGGTTGTATGGTTGAAGCAGGTAATAAATATGACAGCTGAGAATCAACTGGGGAAGATCATTGTTCTCTGTTGCTAATAATAATAATAATAATAATAATAATAATAATAATAATAATAATCTGTTGCTAATCTGCTAGTACAGCTCTTAGATCTATTTTTTGGGGGGGGGGGGAAGATAATACACGTGTGCACATTTTGATTTTCTTTCTTTGTTTCTGCACTATACACCCCTTGGACATCCACTTTCCATGAGCCTCACCATGCAGGGTTTGTGCCCTCAAGCCCAAGGGCATCATAAATATCTAGCAATGGGGAATCTGATTTCAGCTCAATGATAGTCTGGGTACAATTTGTTTGCGGACACAGATTGATCACTGGTTGTGAAAGGAGGCTGGAATGTTTCTTTGTTGCATACCATACATTGCATAATTTACAATCAATAAAGCTTATGCTACAATTCTGGCACCAGACAGTAACTATGTAAAGATAGTTAGTCGTAATATTTCATTAATATTGAACATACTACAAAGGCTTCTTGAACAGGACAACAGTATTTTAATACCAAAGCAGATAGGTAAAGGTAAAGGTAGTCCCCTGACATTAAGTCCAGTCATGTCTGACTCTGGGGTGTGGTACTCATCTCCATTTCTAAGCCGAAGAGCCAGCGTTGTCCATAGACACCTCCAAGGTCATGTGGCCGGCATGACTGCATGGAGCGCCGTTACCTTCCCGCCGGAGCGGTACCTATTGATCTACTCACATTTGCATGTTTTCGAACTGCTAGGTTGGCAGAGGCTAGGGCTGACAGCGGTAGCTCACGCCGCTCCCTGGAATCGAACCTGCGACCTTTTGATCAACAAGCTCAGCAGCTCAGTGCTTTAACCCACTGCGCCACCGGGGGCACCTACCAAAGCAGATACTTCCCTTCAAAACTTCACACAACCTTGAGGATAGGCCCAACAGTTCATTCTACATGGGTACTAAATAATAATTCAAGTTACCCCCTTTCTCTCTTTTAAAAACATTTCTGAGAAATACTACCAATCGCCTAGGCACTGTTCTAATAACGGTAGACCAATTCAGAACTTGAAAACGTTACTTTTTTGGATTGTAGCTTTTTCCCTAATGGGTTGCTAGGTCTAAAAGTATCTGGGCAACTCTGCCAAATGCATAATACAAAGAAGTAACTTTTCAAACTTCTGCTTTGTATGCAATCTCTGGGGTTTCCATTTCAAAGACTCTAAAATCACAGGATGACCTCTGCCTGCCTGACATCTTGAAAGAGTGCTTTCAGTTAGAGTAGACAATGCCCAGCTAGATGGAAAAAAAGGGGAGAAGTCAGCTTTCTGGTTTCACTGTTCTAACCATTCTAAGAAAGCTAATGTCATTCTTTTGGATAGTAATAGCAAGGTATGGCATTTTAACTTGTATAATTTTTATGCCTTCAGCATAAAAAATTAGTTTGGGTATGAGTCCAACACAATTATAAATGTCATTAATCCTGTTACAATAGGAGTTCTGAAATATGTCACTTGAAACTTTAATTGATGCTTATGGCTAACTAAATGGCTTCCTTCCAAACAAATTATGATAATTCTTTAAAAGATGGACCAAATGAACATGGGGGCAGGCAGGCAGTAAGAAAACAATAAAGCTTTCAATATTGTAAAAAAAAATGAGGAGCTGTACCTCAACACCTGCTAGACTAATATCTGTGATTGCACATGAATCCAAGACAGAAAAGCAAAATTATCTTTATTGAAGGACCTTGTACTTTTTCCTCTTGCAAAATGTTGCACAGTATGAGATTCTGGAGGCCATGGATGAGTCAACAACCTGCTTATGGAATTGACTGAGCAAGAAGCAGTATTTTAAGAACCACTTATGCTTCTCCTCCCTTTTTGCCCCACGGAAATCAAAATTGATGGTTGCATCACTGTGCGTTTTAAAACTTACATCTTCCATTTAGATTGTGTGTGTCCATGAAAGAGAAAGCCTCATCACAGTTAGTGCCTTGTTCAGTGTAGCTTTTATCCATTGAGTTCACCATCACTGTCATTTCCTGCCGCGTGCTGCTCAATGTCTCTTTCCGCTTTTTAGCCAATTTCCTTGAGGAATGAACATTAAGAAAAGGGAGATTATACCACAGTCAGCAAGAACTGAATTTATATTTTTATGTCAGATGTATCTATACTGATAATGACAAGAAACAGCCATATTAAATCAATGCCGAAAATGTCAAAATCCCCAAACTTTGTTTCTTTTAAAACTCATTAAAGAGAAAAATGGGCACATGAAAAACATTTTAAAAGAATCACATCTACTTGTTCAGAAGCAGAAACAAAGTGAAACTGAGCATTTGGGTACAGCTTCCTTTTAGGGCTGTGGCACACAACCTATGGCAGACCACCCTGCAAAACCTTAAGCAAGGCCCCCAAGTGGTACCCAGTACCCCCATCGATTATAAATTCCCCTAGTGATTTTCCAATGATTTCCCTATGTATTCCTATAGAGATCCCCATTTAGTGAAAAAGGACCAATGACATGAAGACCTCTGAAAGAAGGGGCTGTCTTGTCTCTTCATCAGAGTTTGATCATTCTAATGAAGAGGAGAGATGGTGAGAAGCTTTTCCATTTCAATTTCCTCCCAATGAGGAAAGGGGATCACCAGGAAGTGTGTGGTGTCCAAATGTTGTTAATCTTCTTACAGGATCCCCAGATATATTTCTTTCCATACCAGGAAAGGAACAGCAGAGAGGGACAGAACTAGACAACACCTCTGCTCATGTGTTGAAAAAAATCTAACAGATAATGCTTTAACAAGCCTAAAAAGTGGCCATAAGTATATGACGGGGAAAAGTATGCATGCATATAGCTTCTTTTCAGACCTTTGTATTAACATCTGTAACTGAAAATGGAGGCAGCAAGCCCAAATCCAATTCCACTCTTACCCACATTCACCGAACAGTTAAAAAGGACAGAAAGAATTGAAGAATAATTCAATTCCCCTACGTATTAGTCTGTGACCTCCCCACCTTTTATGAAAGGTGGTCATTCTTACTTTGACGCTTGATACAGCTGAAAATAACACTGTTATATTGTTCATACACTACAATCAGTATCTCAAAACTGACAGAAAAGAGCAAAAAATATGTTAGGGTCACTATGTGATTGGCAAGCAAGCAATATGGTATCCAATTATTGTACACTTAAAAGCAAACACTAAAAATTGTTGGCATTTAAATTCCTCACTATTATTTTTAAAACAAATCAAAGCAATGTGTATTCTGTTCTTTTAGATAATTGTCATTTATAGTTTTATAATGTTCTTGTATTCACTTTTTCTTCAACCATCAAAAGTTTAGAATGTCTGATTTGAACCCACCCAGAAGCTATTTTTTTAGCCTTTCTAGAAAATACTGAAACATTTTTTTTTTAAAAAGATTACAAAACTGAATATAACAGGGCTGGATTTTTTACATTACTTCTTATCTGAACTCTGTTCAACTCTTGACTCAGGTCACAAGTAAAAAATGAATCTAACAGCTACATGCTAGTCTGGGTTGTCCATTTAAAGAGACCACCCCTGAAGTTACAATGACTGACAGCCTGTCTGAGAAAAATGCTGGGCTGGGAACTAAGTTGTAAGGGAAAAGCCATGAAAAACCTGGTAACAGATAAGCTAACATTATGAACAACTTTCACATCTCCTTAGTTCAGGTTCTCCTCCAATCTACCTTTGACTAACCAGCTTAAAAATATGAGCAATAAAATAAAATAAAACATGTTTATCAAGATGCATTAATTATAGGTCATAATGTTTTATCAATGCCCAAAAGTCATCATAGCTTTCAATTCTTTGGGACAATTATGATATTTGTTATTGAATTTGTAGGGAAAGTCTCTTGAAATAAAAATGTTTGCATGCCTGTGCATACCCTGTGTGCTTTAATTTCAATAAAGTACAACAAAATGAACCTCATATAAGATACATGGATATTTAAAAAAGTGAGCCCATATATATATAATGACAAAACTAAGATTTGTTTCTTGGAATTTAATTTTATTGAACTATTTTCAAACTAGGGATGGTTGAATTTGTGGATATAGAGGGCCAATACCATATATTTACCCTCTTTGTCTGCTAATAAAATTTGCTAAACAACATAGCCAGTACTCCAGATTCTGAAGGCCCTTCCAGACAGGCCTTATATTCCAGGATGCGATTCCTGGTTTTCTGTTTATCCCAGATTATCTGGCAGTGCAGACTCATATAATCCAGTATAAAGCAGAAAACCTGGAATCAGATCCTGGGATATAGGGCCTGTCTGGAAGGGCCCTGAGATACAACGTATTATATATTCATTAGGATGTAGATTTTAACATGAAATCACAAGAATAGCAAGAACTATTTCAATACTTTCATACTGAATCAAGTAACAAAGCACAGCAAATGAACATATACATATAGTCTAACAATAAATTGCTTTTCTCACACAGCAATACCTTCATTCACTTTAGGCTTTCAAGTTAACAATTTTGTTGTGAATATTAATGGTTGGAATTAAATAATGCTTGGATCCAGACTATATTAATCTCTCAATTATTTCAATGTGAAAAGCTAATAATTACATACATTTAATTTATTTCAATGGGAACTAAATGAAGCAATTCTAGTCTCAACACAACACAGTAAACCTGCCTAAAGTTGTGAGCCATGATCCATTGCTACCCCTATCCTTAGTTTATGCTCACAGTCTTGCAACACAACAATCTGGTGCAAGGTCAAATAGATGATTCACTAAAATATGTTAACATTTTTATGGGAAATATTTTTTCCGATTTCCATTGCTCATGGCCACTGGTTGTAGTTTAATTTCTCAGAGACTACCTTGGCATCAAAGGAATGCTAGCACCTTTCCTATGCCTACTCATTTGTTATTTCCCACATTACTGGTTTGCAACACCGTCCCCTCCTCCCACTGAGAGGGGGAAGCCCTCGGTGCCACAAAAGGTTAAACCCTTGTGATGGCAGGACTGCTGACTGAGAGGTCAGCAGTTCAAATCTGGGGAGAGTGGGTTGAGCTCCCTCTGTCAGCTCCAGTTCCCCTAGTAGGGACATGAGAGAAGCCTCCCAAAAGGATGGTAAAATACCAAACATCTGGGCATCACCTGGGCAACGTCCTTGCAGGAAGCAAATTCTCTCACATCAGAAGCGACCTGAAGCTTCTCAAACTGCTCCTGACACACACACACAAAACTAAGAGGGAAATGCACCTGAATGAGAGGACACAGTGATTGATCATTAAATTACCAGTTCTCTCTTCTTTATTATGCAAACAGAAGGAATAAAATATTAAGGTTGAGATGGTTCCTCACCAACTTTCTGTAGGCAGCGGCATTCATTCAAACTTCCCTTCTACATTGCTCAGAAAGGGTGAGGAATCGAGGAGACAAGAGCAGTGGTTGACTTTTTTTGTTAGCATGCTTCTCTTTCTCCCAAAACAGTATATTGCAGAAAAAGAAGTATCATGGGAAATGTCTAGTGTTCTTGACTGTTTCACTTTTCTGTTCTGTTATGCAGGGAAAGGGAAAGGAGGGGGGACTATTTATTGCCTAGTGTGTGATCATTTCTTCTTTATACCAATTTCTGGGTGTGCATTCTTTGATACAGAAGTGGCTGTTTTGCTAGTGCCTATTTTATCTTCCAGTCTCATCTGAATGGGGCATATATTTTACAAAAGTCTCTTTGTAGTCTTAGTATTCATTAAAAATGTCTAGACAAATTCGACAGTGAAATCATCAACCTGAAAACATAGTTATGTCTGTGTTGTGTCTTATTTCATGCAGCCTTACACTATCTTCCCCCAACTCCATACCACTTCAAGGATTCCTGTCAAGCTAGACTCAAACAATTAAAAGACTTTTCCTAGACAAAAAGAGTTTAAATGTAAACAAGAGAGATTAGTAATAAACTGTCAGCACTCACTTAAAAAAACAACAAACTAATGTGATTAATGTAAAAACCAACGTGAGGTATTTGAGGTACCACCGATGAGATCTGGCTTTACAGACACAGATTAATTGAGATGAGACGGTCTTCAACAAAAGATAACAAGTTTATTGTGTACAAAGCGTATGGTTGCAGGCTGTTAAATAACTTATAGAACTTTGAATATCACTTGGTTTGTAATACAGTCCACTCTTCCAAATAACACAGCTCATGGCTAACTTTTACTGAGGTGAAGCTCTTTAGTGAACAGTGTTTCCTACTATGAATAGCCTTCCAATTTGATCTTTCCTTGATCAAATCTCTGATCTCTAGTCCTTCCTTGACTAGGGATCTTAACAAGCTTCCTTTAGTCTTCCTTGACTAAAGAAACTGGCCAGGTTTTTCTCTTCAGCCCTTCTAGACTGAAAAAACCTCCAGCTGCTCACACACACCTCTCTCCCAGGCTTTTCAAGCCTCCACACTCACTTACACACTGTCCCTTTTCCAAAGACGCACATAACTTTTCCTGCTTGGCTCCGCCCACTTCTCACTCTCCTGAGCTAGCCTGCCTGGTCTCCTTGGCAACACTCACTGTGGATTCAAACCAGATAACTCTAGTTTTAGCTACTGTTACAAACACAAATATATACTCTAACAGTTAAACACATACATAGTATCAATGACTTCTGCACAATTACATTACTAAAAAGTTACGAAAGGCTAAAACAATGATACTTAAGATGACATTTGATGATATCTTACGTATTGCATGTATGCCCAAATTTTATTATTTACAATTGTCTACAATGACCTGAAAATGCAAACATACAATTGCACATAAATAAAGTATTTGAACTTGCGCATATGATGTTGGCAGACTGAAAACAAATGGGATTGTTTCACAGAACAAAAACTTTGAAATTCAGTAGGATACCATAACCGGAATCCTAAAATTTGCTTAACTAGTTTTATTTATTTATTAATTTATCGTGTCAATTGTATTGCATTTTTTAACAAACAAACAAACAAACAAACAAAACACAAAGTTTGCAAGCTTGGTAGTTTATTAAATGTCCTTTGACCAGTAGCTGGCAACTTGGAGTAACTAGTTTTGCA